ACCCTTCATCAGAAAAGATGAAGGGTCTAGGCCCGAAACGTCAGCCTCTCTGCTCCTATGATGCTGCTTGGCCTGCTGTGTTCATCCAGCCCTGCACCTTGTTGTCTTAGAGCATATCTTGTTGGTCATAATTAAGTACTAATTACTTTTGGTGCTTTATGTCTGTTACAATTCTCTTCATCTATGTGACTTTATTCACTAAGTTGCATTATACATGAGTGTAACAAATCATTAATTGCAACCTAACAATATTTAATATATTGTTCAATATTCACTTTCTAAATTCAATAAGAATGCAAATTTTTTTCAACAACAGCAGCAAAAACATCGACAACAAATACACAGACATCAACAGAAGCACTGACGTCTACAACAGCTCCTGCCTCAACCAATACAGCAGCAGAAATGTCTACAGCAAGCTCAACACAAGCATCAATATCTGAAGTAACGACAGTAACATCACTCCCTATGACAACTGGTGAGTTTGGCTTTTCTTTTCTGCTGTATTCTCTGACTTATTACTCCCTACTATAACTTTAAAAATTCACAATGAATAGGTACTGCCAGGACATAGCTGCGATTCCACAAAGTAGAATAATGAGCAAATGCAATTTGATGGCTCCTGCTTTATCACGGAGCTGCATCATATTTGCCCATAAGTTGCATTAAAAATGAGCCTGAGAAAAAATATCTTTTGGCAATAAGTTTAGCATAATGTTCCATGTTTTTTGTACATTTCATTAAGTTAATCATCTATTTTAATAATAGCAGAAACACAGTCATCAACTGTAAATACACAGACATCCACTACAGCAGCTTCTGATTCCACTAGTACAAGAACCCCAGTAACAGTAGGGAATTCAAGTGAAGCATCAACAACTCAAGCAATGATAGTCACTATGTCAGTCCCCTCAACGAATGGTATGTGAAAGCTGTTTTTGGAGCTATTCCATTCTCAATCCTGTCAAACTCAAAAGTTAGAAACACATGCTGTAAAAGTGACTACGTTGTTGACCATAATGATGCATGTGGAAATCACAGAATAACGACTCTTGGTATGAGTTTACTCTGTTTCAACAAGGCTATCTTATGTTATGCACTAACTTGCATTATATACGTATGTAACAAAATATCAAGCACAACATTGTGCAACATGTTTAATACATTGTTCTATGCTCTCCAGTAAGGTCAATAATAATAAAACCTGTTTCAACAACAGTGGCAGAAACATCGACTGCAAGTACACAGAGCCCATCAACACCACCGACTCCTTCAGCAGCTCCGATCTCAACAAGCACAATAGCATCAACATCAACACTGTCCTCTACTGAAGTTTCAACAACTCAAGCAACGACATTAGCTCTGTCAGCCTCATCAACAGCTGGTGAGTAGACAAAAGCACCCTACAACTACTATTTTCTGACATCTTATAAACTACTGGAAGGTAAAAGTATGCAATTAAAAACCATCAAAAGATTAAACTAATATATTGTTGGCAAAGTGCATGGACTGCTAATGAAATATAGACACGCTTGAATACTTACTTTTATTATAATCAGGTCATTTTCCATCCTATTTTCTGTCATGATATCCGATTTTGAACAATACTTTGTGCACAACTATTGTGCACCAACATCAACACTGTCCTCTACTGAAGGGTCAACAACTGAAGTGACGATGTTCCCTCCATCAGTCTCATCCACAGCTGGTTGGAAAACAAAAACACACTTTTCTATCATTCTTTTCTGAATTCTTTCAAACTGGTGGAAGAAAGAAGCATGTACTGCAAAAGCATGGAAGGTTAATCACAATATGTTGGTACCTATATGCATGGTGTGCAAAACACCCTTAATGCTACTAAAAACAGGTCAAGTTATATATTAGATTTTATTATTATGAATGAATTTGAATAAAGCCGAGGTCACGTCTATTGCGCAAGAACTAATGTCTTCGTCCATACTTTGCATTTCCCTGAATTTTGTTAATAGCCACAGCAAGATCAACAGGAAATTCAGAGACATTTACAACAGCTCTGACTGCAACACCAGCTCTTGCCCAATCAAGTACAAGAGCTGAAACAACTTCAGCAAGCTCAACTGAAGCATTGACATCTGAAGTATCAACAATGACAACATCATTTCCTTCATCAAGTGGTGCTCTCTTCTCTATTGTACCATTCTGATATCTCTCACTCTACTGCAAGCTTAACAACACACGTCAGAAATGTACTGTACATGATAACACAGTGTTGACTACGACCGCACAGTGTAGAATAATATAGAAATACATTTTGCTGATTGCTGCTTTACACATGGATGTGTCACATAGCTCAATATTTGCATTATATGTGAGATAATGAAAATAACCTTTTAGCTATAATGTTAGGATGATATTCAGGCTTTCTGCATATCGTATTAATGTGTCACTGTTTTAATGACAGCATCAACACAACACTTGACTTTAAACACACAAATGTCCCCTGCAGCACAAACCTCCACATCAACTCTTGTACCAACAATAGCATAGCATGGACAACTGCAGCGAGCTCTACAGAACTGAAGTAATGCCAATCACAACATTACTAACTTCAGCAAGTGGTGAATTCTCTATCATTAGATATGCAATTTGGATTTCTTCACAAGACAGAGGAGCAGGAGTAGATCCTATAACCTATTGAACCAGAGAACTGTGGCAGCAAATTCCAAAGATTCTCAACCCTTTGAGTGAAAAAGTTTCTCATCATCTCAGCCCTAAATACTTGGCCTCATATTGTGAGACTGTGCCCCTATGTTTTAGATTCCCTGGCCAATGGAATCGATCTCTCTGCATCAAGAGAGATCTTCCCCTTTAGAGCTTTGTATACTTCAATTTTAGATCCTGTCTTATTCTTTTCAACTCCAGAGAATATAGACCCAATTTTCTCAGCCACTTATCACAGAACAACCAGGGAATAATTTTATGAACCTTCGCAGTGCTGTTTCTAAAACAGACATGTTGCTATTTAGGTGGAGATTACAACTGCATGTTATGTCAGATTTGGTCACATGAAAACCATATACATTACTATTGAAATTTCTTTATCCTTGTATTCCCACCCTCTTGAGAAAATGCCATTTGCTTTCAGAATTGTTCCTGTACGTTTTCCAGCATACTCTGAGTTTAGAAACCCCTAATACCTTATTCAGTCTGTCACCTATTTTAATGACAGGAGTAACAAAAACTTCAATGATAATTGCACAGACATCCGCATAAACCTCGACATCAACTCCTGCCTCCACAAGTATAAGACCCCCAACAACTACAGGGAGGTCTAGTGAAACATCAACAAGTGAAACAACAAGAGTCCCGATAGCACTCAAAACATGCACAAAAGTGCTTATTTCAACTACTCCATTCTCAATCATGTGTAACTATTTGAAGTTAGAACCACAACTTGAGAAGTGACACAGGTTTATAGCAGTACGTTGTTGACATAACTGTGCATGTGAGAATCATGGGCTTATAACTCTTGTTGCTTTACTTCTGCTACAACAAGACTTATGCTCTGCAATCAAAATCTACATTAAATACGTGCATGTTAAACCATAAAACCAACTAAAGCACTAAATTTATTTTTCATATATTGCACCATAACCTCTTTTCTCCTCAAAGTAATGTAATCTGTTTCATCAACAACAATAGTAAAAACATCGAATGGAAGTGCTCAGAGCTCCACAACAGCAGCAACCTTTGCATCAGCCCATGTGTCAACAAGTACAGCTTCACCAATAACTAAAAAGAGCTCGACTGAGGTGTCAGCAACTGAAGCAACAACTATGACTACGTCACTCCCATCGCCTCGTGGTGAGTATACAAGAACACTCTTTGCAGCCATTCCATTCTCAAATCTGTCACACTACTGAGTTAGTATCTTTCATTGCATAAGAACTTTTAACAGAACTTATAGCCCAAATACCATGAAAAAGGTTAATGTATTAATCCATTATTTTCATTTTCATGTGAGCTTTTTTCCTTTTCTTGGTTCTGTCACTACATGTTGCATGCTCTGTCAGCAAGCTTAGTTATTGGTGCAGACAAGCAAGTTACTTGTGGAGAGTGGCATTGAAATTCCACAACTAGAGTACATTCCATGTTCTTGCTCCCCCTTTGCTTCTTCACAGTGGTGTTCAACTCAGACATGATCTGATGTATCAGTTGAGGCTGTTGCTCGGTTGTAATCAGCGCGATTTCTTTTACCATTACCTTCCTGATGCCATGAAACTGTATGAGATCTGTAGTAAGCATTAGCCACATCATGGCTTACTTCCTTTTGTAGATCACCTCATATTAGAGAGACTGGGTTCTCTCACTGAGTGCAGGGCAATATGCTTGAATATGTCTGACGTAAATGAACAGCTAGTGGTGTGTGTGAGCAGAAATTGAGAGAAATATATATATTTGATCAATTCTAGTTAAGGCCCGCTTAAAGCCAAGTAAAGGTCCGAAGCTTGTTTCCTACTTTTGGGTTGAATGGCAACATATTGAGTGTATGTGGAGAGCTCAGGAACCTCCATCACCACATCCCTTCTGCCCTTCCCCTACCACTGTATAAATTCAGCTCTGAGGTGCAGCACATGGAGAACTGAGCACGGAAACATCCACCTCGTATCTATTTACAATTGTGTGTGCATCGAACAAGGAGAGGTAAAGCAGAACTGATGCATGCTCTGATTTTCAATTCTCATATCGTATCCTAACATCAGAATTCTAATCCATACTCATCTCATGCAACAGCTTCATAATCTAAAAGCAAAAGGAAAGGCTGACTGTTTAATCTGGGGACACTCCTGTGACAGTATTTAACATTCTATCTTGTGCACTAGAGTCATCTTCTATTTCAACAACATCAGGAACAGAAACTCCTTCTACATCTATTCAAATCTCCACAACTTTACATTCGACAAGCTCAGCAACACCAGTCAGTACCAGTGAAGCATCCACAACACAAACAACCATCCTAATGACAGGTACAGACAGGAACAAGACTGATATGTGTATTTATATCACAATTTAATCAATTATTTTATTATCTTTGTCTATGTAGTGCATTTTTCTGACTTTTTAAATATATTTGAAGTATCTCCAACGTTTCGATACATAGTGAATTGGGATAGATTTCTCTGCTGTTCAGACACTGCATTTTGTAATAAAATGCACATGACAATAAATAAATCAACAAACTGGGTCATGAGCTTTTGGAATATATGATCTCATTGATCTAACATGAGGTTAGGTACTTTGTGAAGGGCAGACTTCATTAGCGTTGATTGCGTGGGCTGCAGGTGGAATTGAATGAAATTTTGAACAGATTTGGTCGGCCTATTTTAGTTAGTCTTCACCCTGTTGTAATGCATTACCTGGATACAACAGCTGGAAATATCAAACAAATCTGACCTCTTAGCTGCATAGGAAGCTAATGATGAGTTCCTCCATGAGTGTTTTCACCAACCCGTTCAATTTCTGATACTTAATGCATCTGGCTGCACACATAGCAAAACCTCCCTTCATGAAGCTGTTAACGTTTACCATTGTTACAGGATAAGCCACTGTTATGATCCCAGCTGATGGTAATACTGGAAAAGTCAGATCCCAGAGAGAAACCTGTCTTGATAGATCATATGTTTAATTTCTGTGGTTGATTGCCGTCATTGTTAATCATTCAACAAATGCCCACAAGGTTGCAAAGTTTCTTAATTGATAAAATACGAGTTTATTGAGCATGTGCAGAACCTCAACAGCCACTCAACTTGGGGGGGACGTTGGACTCTGTTCCACAATAGAATCCATATAGAAACTGTTGTTACACCATGTACTTAAGCTAATTACAACTATAATTATGCTGAAGAACTGTTGAAAAATTTAAGCTTTTTTGAATTTGGACAAATTAAGAATTTAGTGTGGAGTATGCTGAAATTATTCCTAATCAACCTCTTGAGCCTTGAAAAATTATATTACAAGCATGGTACCTTAATCCTTCGGACAAAAGATATAGACTTTGAAAAATATACAATCCAAACATTATAAAACCTTTGTGTTCTGCACTGTTATGTCTTTTCCCTAAGCTATGCATGTGAGAAAAGCTTCGTGCTTTGTTTCTGTGAAGATGCTTCCATCTAATTGGCTGAATAGCTTTCCTTCCCGTAGATACTGGAGAGGGTGCCAAATTCAGACAATGGAAAAGGAGAATCTTCCACAGAAAAGATTATCAAACATCTGTGGGCAATAGTAGATGAGGTGAACAGCGAAAGCTGTTCCTTCATTGTTCTCTTCTAAATCTGAGCTAGAAGAGTTATAATCCTTACTTTGGATGGAGATGTTTTTTAACCACATTTTGCTTTGTGTTTTTCTTTTCTATAGTGGAGCCTCCCATTGTACCTGCAACAGTCAACCCAAATGAAAGAATCCAGGAAAAAGAATTCAACATAACCTTCACTGTTCTCAAACTACCTTTCATATCGACCCTTCAAAATCGCAATTCCTCATCATACAAAGCTGAATCAAACAACATTCTTGATGCAGTAAGCATGTTATCTATGTCATTTGGGAAGAAAATGTTATATTTCTTTGCATTCTTGACATTAATTGGAACATTTTAATTTTCTGCAGCTCAGTAAGCTGTATGCCAAAAGCAAAGTAAAATCGTTTTTGCATTGTCAGTCTGTATCATTCAGGTAAGAAATTAACTTTACAGTAGAAATTTAAGCTGGATCCACAAAATACTTTGATGTTTAAGTGATATGACATAAGTCAAAAAAATTATTGATGTGATAGAAAAGGATTTGCTCAATATAATTGCCTGGTGAGATAATTTTTTGACTGCATGAATGTTTCAATCCCACACACCTAACCTTTGTTAGCTTGTCAGAACTGTTTCTGATATCACCAACATCAAAGTGAAAGAGACCTCATATTGCCATAATATGTGAAATTGTGGTGTACTTTCTACAGAGATAGTAGGAACTGCCGATGCTGGAGAATCTGAGATAACAAGGTGTAGAGCTGGATGAACACAGCAGGCCAAGCAGCATCAGAGGAGCAGGAAAGCTGACGTTTCGGGTCGAGACCCTTCTTCAGAAAAAAAACAATTACAATTCTTACAATTACCTTGTTACCACGTTGTTGCCTTGTTACCACATAGCATGCCATTATACACTACCTGTTGTTAGTCAGTAATAGTCCCCATTAACAATTATTCACCCTCCCAGCCTGATCGTTATCAACTCTTTGTCTGTCCAACTGCTCTTCTCTCTCTTTAGGCTCTATCTTATCGTTTACTCCCTACCCCATCCACCTTCCCTATTTTCTGCATATAAACTGACGTTTTCCCAGCCACCATCAGTCCTGAGGAAGGGTCACCGGACCCAAAACATTAACTCTGTTTTCTCCTTCACCGATGCTGCCAGACCTGCTGAGCTTTTCCAGCAACTTTGTTTTTGTTCCTAATTTACAGTATCCACAGTTCTTTTGGTTTTTATTAGGTGGCAGGGAGGGTTACAAAACCATATGCCATCATGGTGACACTGTACTTGATACCACTGGTAGCTTGCCAACACTGAGGAAGCATTTAAGCAGCCTGTTTACAAGATAATTAAGGTTCTTAAATGACAAATTAGTGGATAATTAAGGGTCTCTGTCTACTGCCAATGGAATTTTACCAGTGGTATAGCGTGCCCAGACCCAGTAAAACCTGGCAGCAATGTTGCCAGTAAAGGAGGGTGACCCTGTGCCCAATTGATACATTACCAAAGGTCTTTTTCCGCTACTGCATGAGTCTTCCAGCCACTGTCCAAACCCAGTTTCCATCCCTCCTTGTCCAGCTCCATGGCTCCTCTTGATGTATCTGTCCCAATGGTGTTTGATGGCAGGCAGTTCTTGGAGGTCAGCCATCTTCCACAATGGGAACAGAAGTCGTTTTATATGCTATTAGGTGGGCTAGGGGCAACGTGAACCTGAGGTTTAACCCAGGATACAGAGCTGCTACTTCCATGTAAAATTCCCCTTGTACCATGTTAGTAGGTTCTCTGAGTTTAAGTTGATAAAGTGACAGGTGCACAAGATTTTGAACAAACTAATGCCGTCCACACATGTGCTCTTAGATGATTGAAAACTGATGGGAACCATCCAACTACCATGCCTGATCAACTGTAAGTGAGATCTGAAAGCTGATTCTACTGAAAGGCTTCAGCAGTTTTTTTTTAATTGATTGATTTTGTCAGAGGCCCAGTGCAGCTCATCAGTACTGATTTCTGGAGTAAACATCCTAACAGCCCAGTGATAATACCATTAGGCCATCACTCTCTCATAATGTTGTCAAGAAGAGACAGTAACAAATTACAGATTTAATTGCAGATATACAAGTTTTAACAAAACATTGCAGCTGACTTTAATGTATAGCTCTCTATTTATTATTACAGATTTTCTGTTAACTAGAGTAACACTGTCACAGCAACAGTAGATTTACTGATTGCAGGTGTACACATTTCTACTGCAGCATTAACCTCTCCATCAAGTCCTGCCTCATCAGATGTCCTGCAGATGTCCTGCTCAGCTTCTCAGAGGAAGTAATGGCAATGTGGACAAAAGGAATCCTATTAATGTGGTGTAGTTGTAAAAGGTTTTGATAAAGTATCACATGAAAGGCTGCTGCACAAAATCCATGGTGCAATGGGCAATATATTAACATAAGGAAACAATTGGCTAGCTGACAGGAAGCAAAGAGTAAAGTTTATTTTTTTGAGTTGGTAAACTGTTATTAATGCAATATAAACAACCTCAGGGAGTTCTACTGTTCTTCATGCCAAAATAAATACATTCACATTTTCCCACATTATATGCCAAATGGCATTTTTTGTTTGCCCACTTAACCCTTCTATATCCGTTTGTACAGTCTTGACCTCCCCTAACAACTTATTTTTAAATTTACCCTGATGTCATCAGCAAATTTAGTTACTATACATTAGTTCCTTTCATCCAGTGCATTGATATAGATTGTAAATTGTGGAAGTCTCAGATTTAATTCCTGTGGTGCTGCATTAGTGACAGTTTACCAACTCAAAAAAATTCTACTGTCTGCTTCCTGTCAACTAGCCAATTGTTTCCTTATGCTAGTATATTGCCCATTGCACCATGGATTTTGTGCAGCAGCCTTTGATGTGATACCTTATCAAAACCTTTTACAACTATTTCACATTTATGGGATTCCTTTTTGTCCATGTTGCCGTTGCTTCCTCTGAAAAGCTGAGCAGGACATCTGCAGAAAAAAAAGGTTAAGTTTGCAGATTAGGTCGCTGTCATAAGTGGTAACAGATAGATCACCTTATCCTACCCATGTATGATCCTTCATTTTGTAAGATGAATATTTGTGTTAACATGAGATGTTGTAAGCATGAAGAAAAGATACTGGAATTCCCACTGAAACCTAGCATATGTGCGGGTCAATGATCATGCACTGTGCGGCTAGGTTATGTGAAAATACGAGGGTGACAATTCCACAGTGCAGAGTGTGATAATCATCAGTCTTCATGCGCTGCTTATTTCCACTGAGGGTATGTCATTGTTTGAAACAGGGAGAGGTGTGTACACAAGTACAGGGACTCACAATGAAATGATATGATTTTCGGGTGCTCTGTCTGATAGGGAGGACCCGCTGATTGCTAGAGGAATGAGATAATTGCTGCCAGAAATTTAGATAAGTTTTTAAATTAAATGTATTTAATGTCTTCTGGTTGAAGCTTGCTTGCAGCCTAAAGATGCACCTATGCCCCCTTCTTGAAACTGGATCTAATGGCTGCTTATCAAAGGTATTCAGAGAGTTCAAGAACACTGTCCCTGCTCCTCCCCTCACAGAGCCCAACCCTGTTGCTCCACGTTCTGTATAATTGCGGTTTTTACCAATGGAATGTACACTGAAACCGCGGTTATAGTGTCAGGCTAGTTATCGTTATGAAGGATTTATGAAAAGTCTAAGCCAGTTTGAATCAGGAGTGATTAATTCTGGAATTTTGTGAACACTAAGTCCTGACTCACCAGACTCTGTATAGAAGTTCAGCAGGGAGGCCATCTATAATTCTGAGAGCTGCCCCGCAGCAATTGAAGGCTAAGTAGATCACTGATTTATATTAAGGCCCGGCTACCTCAACCTTCCTTTCTCAGGAGGAGGTCACATGCCTTAGAGACTAGAACAGCCTAGTTGGGTACGTGGCCTCTGTATTCCCAACAGTGCCTCCAGGAGTGGTACGCACTCCTGGGACTAGAGGTAGTCCCACCACGGTAGGAGCCCTGGGTAAATCCAGTGTTGGGGATCTCACTGAGGCCTGCTATCCTCTTCTGTAAAAAGCTGTGAAAGAGGGGTTTGAGAATCAAGGAGGTACCTGCAGAGATCGTTTAAGTGGGGGATGGCCTCCAAAAGGTCGGTGGTGCCTATCAAAGGGGGCTGCCACTCGCCTGACAGCAACCCATGCACCTAAAGTAGACAGTCTTCCCATGTAGTGGGAACTGTCCCTGATACTTTACAGATAAAATTTGTAAAATGTCAGGGACAACAAGATAAGAGATTTAAGTGGATATTAATTGGGTCTTTATTACCATTAAATTTCTCACAGGATGCATTCCATCCCATATGCCTTCAAACCCACCAGGTGAGATAGTGTAACATCCAATCATAGAGTCATACAGCATGGAAACAGACCCTTCGGTCCAACCAGTCCATGCTGAACATAATCCTAAACTAAACTAATTCCACCTGCCTGCTCCTGGCCCATATCCCTCCAAACCTGTCCTATTCATGTACTTACCCAAATGTCTTTTAAACATTAAAATTGTACCCACATCCACCACTTCCTCAGGAAGTTCATTCCACGCACAAACCAGTGTAAAAAAAATTGCCTCTCATGTCTTTTTTAAATCTTTCTCCTCTCAGCTTAAAAATGTGCCCCATAATCTTGAAATCCCCTATCCTAGGGAAAAGACACGTACCATTAACATTATCTATACCCCTCATGATTTTATAAACTTCTGTAAGGTTATCTCTCGACCTCCAAGGCTCCAGTGAAAAAAGTCCCAGCCTATTCAGCTTTTCTTTATAACTCAAACCTTCCAAACCTGGCAACATCCTTGTAAATCTGCTCTGAACCATCTGCAGCTTAATAATATCTTTCTTATAACTGGACAACCAGAACTGGACACAGTATTCCAGAAGAAGGCTTCACCAACGTCCTGTACAACCTCAACATGACTTCCCAACTCCTATGCTCAAAGCACTGAGCAATGAGGGCAAGCATGCCAAATTCCCTCTAAACCACACTGTCTGTATGTATTGCAAGCTTCAAAGTATTATACGCCTGAATCCTTAAGTTCAGCCCTGCAACACCTTAGGCTTTAATGGAATAGTATGTCAAGCTAATTTCTGAACAATTTTTCAGTAATCTCATTCCCTCGCAAGAAAACTAATGTTGTAATGTTTTAAAAAAAAGTATCAGAAAAACTTTTGTGTTTTGCTCTTTTATATTTTCCCTTAATTCCACATAACTGATTTTTTTTTCATTTTGCGTACAATGTTTTAAATTTAATATATATTTGCTCTATGTTATCACCTTTCTTTTTAATAAGGATTCTGCAAGCTAATTCACTGAACACACTTTGCTCTGCATCTTGTTCTGTTATAGTGGAACCCCTGATTATACCTGCAACAGTCAATCCAAATGAAGGAACTCAGGAGAGAGAATTTAACATAACCTTCACTGTGCTCTCACTGCCATTCACACCTAATCTACAAAATCTCAGCTCTCCGTTGTACCTGGCTGTATCAAGTAGCATTCTTGACAAAGTAAGTATGTTACCAAAGTCATTTGGGAAGAATATGTTATACTTCATTCCATGTTTTATGCTAAAATGCAATGTTTTAATTTTCTACAGCTCAGTAATCTGTATGTCAATAGCAAAGTGAAATCAGCGTTCTTGAGATGTCAGTCTGCATCTTTCAGGTAAGAATTTAGTTATTAATGAGAAAATTCCAAATCAAATTGATTTTAAACAGATAAAAAGATGAGGAAAATCATTTCCTCGATGTTATTGACTGATTTAATCTTGTAACTGCATTGCTGCAATCCCCAACCTTTTATCAATTCAGCAGAACTGATCCTGCTAAATGTGTCACAAAGTAAAAGCCGTACAAATTACCATATGTGTGAGATTGTGATATGCTTTGTCCATATTGACTTGTACAGAATGAATATATCTCAGTAACTGAATAATGCACCTGTAGATAGCAGATAATGCCTTTAAAACCCCTTTTTTTTCCGTAACAAGTCATTAATGTTTGAACTAATGTTGGTTATTGAGTTTGACAGAGCCACATCAAGTTGTTAATTATTATCATGTTTAAGTCAACTGAGCTGCAATGGAGGGCATACAACTAGCCACCAAAGCAATGGTGGGAGTGGTGTCAGGTGGCCTGATTGCCTGTCCGCTGATTGAGATGGCACTTCTTTACTGATGAAAACTGATTTGCCACCATGGACAGGCCTGTTAAACTGCTTTGTGCCGATCCAGCAAAATGGAGGCAAACAGGCCCCTGACTTTTAAGCTGGAGGGTAGCACTCAGCTTTCTCATAAAACTCCTGCTAAAAACACAAGAGTATGTTACAGATGTTACAGTAGCAGATACACAGATTTTCCATTTGTTGTTTCGCAATATCCTCTCAGAAGATTACAAAATGATGCGGATCATGTCCAATCACCATGTATTTTGCACTGTGGGTGACATATGGTCAGGTAAACTGATTCTACTGAAAGGCTTTACCTATCTTCTATTGATTAGATCAAGTCAAGTGCAGTGTATCAACCAAACTAGCTCTGAATTCTAGAGTAAGCTTCTTCCCCTGATAAACCTCAACCTTTTCAATGTGCAGAACCTCTAAAATGTGCAGAACTATGAAAGATGCTCATGATCTATTCAAGTAGCATGCTACCAGGATTCAATGTGAATATGTATGATATTCACTGCTTAATCTGGACTGAAAATATACTTTTATGTTTGTGTAAATTTGTTAAATTATCATTATTACTAAAGCTTTGAAAGCACATTTTAAAATTATTATTATTTAAGTTGTTCATGATATTTCAGTCTCTGTCTTAATGCCATCCAAATGCCAAAACTTTACGTCGTGTTTCATCTTTAAATAAATTAATTATCTTGTGTTTGAATGTTGCAGGCCTGCAAGTGATGGCAACAGTACAGTAGAGGCAATCTGCACCGTCAAAAAGAGTGCCGATACCTCTCAAACTGATAAAGTTCAACTCTACCGTGAATTCCAAAATAACACAAAGGGCATCACTGCCTTAGGAAATTATACAGTGGACAGCAGTAGCCTCTATGTAGATGGTAAATACTCACTTTGATTACATATCACACTTCAAATAAATATTTATTTTTCATTATGCTATCAGCAGTTGTTTCTTTTTTCAGGGGTATTCTCTTTCCAGGTGACCTGTCAAACTGCTACCCCTTCACTCGCAAACAGTTTATTAATTACTTGACTCAACTTCAGTGATGGTCTATTTACATTCTGCCATTCTTGATATCTCTGCTTCCTCACCCTTGGTTGTTGCCTGTCTTTCACCCAATCCCAATCTCTTTGTTTACATCTTGTTGTTTTGATTTTTCGCTTGTAAATCAAAGAGAAAACATTACTATTCATTCCATTTCAATGTCTTTCACATGATCAATTTCTTACAGAATGTTGAATATCTTATGCAAGCTGTCACAGGCGCCTGATTCTGGTTTAATTTATGTCAAACTCAAGTGATTAATTGCAAGTTCAAAAAACCGTATCATAAACACTTTAAGTAATTCTTTCCAAACAATTTTTTCCCAGGTTACCATGAATCAGCTGTTTTAACCAGTAAGTGTGATAACAGTCTTTGTTATTAGTGTTGTTTAATATCTGTACAAACTTTCCACTGAATTTGTTTCATATCTAAGCCTTGATAATTACATGATCTCCAGTGGTCTCTGTTATACCTCATTATCTCAGCTGAATAGTATGTCAAAAATTGGGAGACTGTCATGGTGCCTCTTCCATTTAAATTGATGGTATCTGCTTGACAATAATTCCAGGGAATATCCAAGCAAACACCGACTCAGGTTTCATTGAGAATAATATGGTGAGAATTGAGTTAATTTCCCAAGGCAGAAATTTGTTGAGGTTCCTGTTCAGATTTGAAATAGATGAGACACTCATATTTCAATCCACAGAATAAAGAAGTGGATTCAACATTACGCTATGAGATCAAATATCAAATGTATTGACCCCCAGAATGAATTCAACCAAACAAAGTGTCTTTCAGTTCTTTTATTTGCTTAATGTTTGGAAGGGACGGAGGTAGAAAACAGGAAGCAGTAGGTCAGTTAGCTTCACATTGCCAAAGGAAAAATGTTGAAAGCTATTATTAAAGAAATTACATCATGGCACTTTAAATAAGCCTAAGGAATCAGGCATAGTCAGGATGCAAAACAGAATTGCTGGAAATACTCAGCAGGTCTGGCAGGATCTGTGGGGAGAAAGCAGAGTTAAATTTTCAGGCCCAGTGATCCTTCTTCAGAATACAGAGTCAAGGCGGTTTTGTGAAAGTGAAATCATGTTTAACCAATCTATTGGAGTTATTTGAGGAAGTAACATGTGCTGTGGATAAAGGAGAACTGGTTGGTACAGAGCATTCAAATTCTCAGCAGACTTTTACAAAAATGTCACAGCCAAGGTAGTTGTGGAAAATAAAATTTCACGGTATAACGTGTAGCATATTGGCATGAATAGAAGATTGGCAGGTGAACAGAAAGCAGAAAGGAGGAATTTTCAGGTTGGCAAGATGTAATGAGTGGTGTGCCACAGGGAATCAGTGCTGGGACCCCAACTGTTTACAATTAATGTAAATGATTTGGATGAAGATACAGGAAGAATGATTGGCAAATTTTCTGATGACACATAGATAAGTAAGAAAATAACTTGTGAGAAGGACATTAAGATGGTACAAAAAAGTATTGATAGGTTAAGTGAGTTGGCAAAGATCTGGTGAATAAATTACAGTACAATGTGGGAAATTTTCTATTTTTTTGCACAAAGGATTAAAAAAAAAGCTTATTTTCTAAATGGTGAGAAATTGCAGAGCTCTGAGATGCAGAAAGATGTGGATTTCTTGGCGCATAAGTCGTAAAAGATTGGTACGCTGAAATAAGTAAGTTACTTAAGGGGGAAAGGAATTGAATACAAAAGTGAGGATGTTATGCTTTAGTTCATTGTACTTCATATATGTTCTCACTTGTTGCAATGTAAAGTATTGGTCATGTTATTTAGGGAAGAACGTACAGACTTTGAAAGCAGTTCAGCAAAGGTTAACAATACTAATACCTGAAAGGGCTGGGATGTCTTGTGAAGAAATGTTGGATAGGTTTGTGACCACTGGGTTTTTGAATAGGAATAGGTAACTTGGCTGAAATATATCAAGATCCTGACGGAATCAGACAGGATGAATGTGGAAAGAAAGCTTCCTTGGAAGGGAGAATACAGAACAAAGGTTCAGAGATTAAAAATAAGGGTTACACACTAAAACATAGTTGAGGTAAAAAGATTTCTCACAGAGGTTTGTGAATCTTGGAAACTCTCTACCTGAAAAGCAGATGGAAGCAGAATGCCTGAATGATTTTAAGGCAGAGGTGAAAAGTTATCAAAGATTACCTGGAATATGCATTTGAGGTAACAATCAGATCAGTCATAAACATATTGAATGATGCAGTAGGCTCGAGAGACCGAGTGGGCTACCCCTGCTCCTTGTTCCTACGTTCATTTCTTTATTTTTCTTTAAATGATAACAACCAAAACAAATTCATTACTGATACCACTTCATATATGACTAATTTACAACTCGTCATTGCAAAAGTAATGTAGTAATGTGGAGCTATGGGATTTGTAAATGCCCCGGATAATCATTTGTTGAAATTCTGAAATTGCATATCAGTGAAAATGCAACAAGCATTATGTTGTGTGAAATCTCCTCTATTCTCTTTGAAGTGAGAAATATTAAGACACTGATTGTAAGGGGGAGATGTACACAACATATGAACAGAATACTGTAATTGAAACCAAACTTTTCAAACAAATTCAAAATTCCAAATTGCTGACAGACTCACTGTAATAAGCAGAACTTAGAGCCTTGGTAGAAAGATAAGGCAATGCAAGAGCAGTGAAGGATCCATGATCTGCATTGACTCATATGACATTGCAGAAAACATTGGGATTTCAAATGGACAAGCACCTATTTCTGGATTGCAGTACTGCAATCTGTGAAATGAAGTTACTTTTTGTGCAGGAGTTAAACAGAATTACAGTGTACCATTCTTATAGCTTGTTCTATTACCTGTCTAATATTTCCCTTATGTTTGCTAACAGCGACGTCACCAACTGTAACCATGACACAAACTCCAAGCTTCGAAGAGAAGCCCATTGAATTCAACGTGACCTTTGTTATCACTAACTTACAGTTTACTGAGAGTCTACATAATTCCACTTCTTCACTGTATAAATCCGTGTCAAAAAATATTTCCTATCAGGTAATCAATACATTACACTAGCCTGTGAAAATACAGCACTTTCCAGACACACTATGTTGTGACACATAATGAAAGTAATAACTAATACAATTCTGCCACCCGTTGGTGCCAGCTTTTTCTTCAAACATTCAACCTTTTATTGCAGCTCACTGACCTGTACAACTACAGCAAAATTAATGCAAGATTTACAGATTGTAAAGCTGTTTCCTTCAGGTGAGTTATTTCATTACTCTGTCTTAAAAATATGTATCAACATTAATTCGAAACAAGAGTCTGCATCATGTAAATGTCACTTGAACGATGTGAAAATATTTAAATTTCTAATAGCTATGTACTTTTATAGTGTTACGTTACTGTGTGGCATAGAACTGGTTCCTATGCATTTCATGTTCATTTGCTTCGAAGTTCAATTTACCTTGGGACACTGTTGGAGAGCAAGCAACTGTGTTTCAAAACCAGTCTTTTATTTCCCAAAAGTTGTGATCTTTTAATAGAATATAGTAATGTACAGCATATTAACAGGCCAATCTCTTCACAATGTTGTACTGGACATGACATCAGATTAACCTAATCCCTTCTGCCTGCCCTTGGTTCATATCATTCAACTCCTTGCATGTTCATGTGCTCATCTAAAAGTCTCTCAAATGCCCCTATTGTATCTCCCTGCACCAACCACACCCTTCCCTGGCAGCACATTCCACATCCCCACCACTCTCTGTGTAAAAACCTTTCCCCTCACATCTCCTTTGAACATTCCCCCTCTCACCCGACATGCGTGCGGCCTGGTATGAGACATTTCAACTTTGGGTAAAAAGATTCTATGTGTCAATGCTATCAATGCATCTCATAATTTTATAGACTTCCATCAAATCTCCCCTCACCCTCTGCCATTCCATTGAAAACAACCTGTGTTTTTCTGGCCTTTCCTTATAGCTCATATACACTAATCCAGGTAGCATCCTGGTAAACTTCTTTTGCACCATCTCCAATGCCTCAACAAGCTTCCTGTAATGTGGCAGCCAGAATTGAATGCAATATTGTAAATGAGGCCTCAGCAAAATCTGGGCACTGACTCCCATCTAACCGGATTCTGAGGAAGGGTCACTTGACCTGAATCATTAACTCTGATTTCTGCCAGTGCTGCTGAGCTTTTCCACCAATTTCTATTTCGGTTTCTGATTTACGACATCTGCAATTCATTCAGTTTTTGTTGAGGATACAAAGATCTTGGTCAAGGCTCCAGCAATCTCCTGCCTTGCTTCTCTCTATAACCTGGGGTACATACCATCGAGCCCTGAGCACTTATCCATCTTAATGCTCTTGAAGAGACGAAACAGCACTTCTTCTTTGATCTCAAAATGCCCAAGCATATTGGCATGCTCCACACAAATCTCACTGTCCTCCATCTCCTTCTCCTAGGTGATTTCCAATGCAAAGTTCTCATTTAGGATCTCACCCACATCCTCTGCCTCCAAGCACAAGTTCCCTCCTTTATCTGTGCATGGTCCTTCCTTCTCTCTAGTTATCCTCTTGTTTTTAATGTATGTATAGAATGCCTTGGGATTCTCTTTAACCGTACTTTCCAAGATCATTTTATGGCCTCTTCTTGTTCTCCTAATCCCCTGCTTGAGATCTTGCCTGCTTCCTTTATATTCCTCATGGGCCCTGTCCAATTTTATCTTTCTAAAGTTTATATATGCTTCTTTTTCCCTTTTGACTAAATTCACAAACTCCTTCATTATTCAAGGGTCCCATACCTTGCCATCCTTGTCCTTTCTCCTTACCCTCATATGCCGGTCCTGAACTCTGATCAATAGGTCTTTAAACAAATCTCACGTGTTAAACGTGGACTTACCTGATAACGGGTCCTTCCAATTAACACTCCCCAGCTCCTGCCTAATCCCGATTTAATTTGCCCTCCCCCAATTTAGTACCTTCCCACAGTCCTGACTTATACTTATTCATCGCTGTCTGAAGACTTAAACCTTTAAAAAGGAGTTGTGAACACTGTTTCCAAAACGCTTTCCCACTGAAAGGTCAGTCACTTGGCCAGGCTCATCAGCCAATGCAAGGTCCAGTATGGCTTGTTCTCCACTTGGAGTATCCGCATCCTGTTTCATGAAACCCTCTTGGATTCACTGAACAAATTCTGCCCCATCTAAGCCGCTTGCTCTAAGGGAGTCCCGGTCAATATTGAGGAAGTGAAAGTCACCCACTATGAAACAACCCTGTTGTTATTGCATCACTCCATAATGTGCCTACATATTTGTTCCTCAATGTATCAGTGGCTGTTGGGGAGGCCAATAGGATAACCCTATCGGAGTGATTTCACCCATCTTATTTTGGAGCTCTACCCAGACTGTCTTGGTGGATGAGCCCTCCAGTATGTCCTCTCTGAGTGCAGATGTGGCATTCTCCCTGATTGGTATTGCAACTCCTCCATCTCTTTTACATTCCTCTCTATATTTCATCTAAAACAATGAAACCCTGGAAGGCCAAAACACTGAAACCCTGGAATGTTGAGCAGCCAGTCCTGTCTCTGTCTCTAAATCAAATCTCCGTAACTGTCACAATATCATTGTCCCATGTACTAATCCAGGCTAAGCTCATCTGCCTTGCCTGTAAAACTCCTTGTGTGAATAAGAACACACTTCAGCCCTTAACTACCATTGTGTTCATTTACCTGCCTCTGCCTTTACTTTATTTCTAACTTCAATAACAAAAACAAAGTTGCTGGAAAAGCTCAGCAGGTCTGGCAGCATCTGTGAAGAAAAAATCAGAGTTAACATTTCGGGTCCAGTACATCACCTTCCCTTCAATCCCTCCACTTGCTGGCCTGCTGCTCTTGTTCCCAGCCCCCTGCCACTCTAGTTTATATTTATATAATATTTATATAACTTACTATGTGTAGGATGTATGCAAATATAGTGATTGAAATGTGAGATTTTAAAGTTTCTAATTGCAAAGATCAATAATCAGTTCAGAACAATCAGTGCTACTTGATTAAACACTTCTTTCCATTTTGTTTTAACAGGCCAGAGGATATTGCTAATACCCGTGTGTACACAATCTGTACATTCAGAAACGATTCTGATCCTCAGGAGGTGAACAGAATTACCATGTACCATGCATTCCGAGACAGCACCAAGAATATCTCTACATTAGGAGCATATACATTGGACAGTAACAGCCTCTACGTCAATGGTATTTTCTTTTAAAGACATATATTGTTCATATTTTTTCAATATGTTATTTGGATTGAACTTAGCTATGATTTTTAAAAGGGTAAATTTATTGAATTCTGTATTGATTGTTTTTCATCCGACACATATCAATCTAAATGCATGACTTTAATCTTTCAGGGTACCATGAATCGACTCCTTTACCAAGTAAGTGATATTCATGAACATTTGTTCTATTTGTGTTTATTTCAATTAACAAAACAACAAAACAAGTCCTTACTGATATCTGTTCACGTATCGTCAAGTACCATCACATTATTTCCAAAATAACATTTTGATTAGTATCTTCTCCATCCCACATTTCCCATTTAATCACTATTTCCAATTCTGAAATTGCTGATCTGTGAAAGTTCAGCTAACGTTCCTGAGTAAGGTCATAGTCGTCTGTCTTTTATTTGAGGAATGTTGGGCCAATAATATTGCATATAAATGAACCGAGAAGAGAAAACACTGATTGCGTTGTAACCAGAATTTTCACCCAAATATAAAATTCTACATCACTGATGGACACACAAAATAAGCAGGACTTTGTTACACCTTATAGAGTCATAGACTTGTACAGCACGCAACAGACCCTTAGTCCAACCTGTCTGCGTTGACCTGATATTCTAACTTAATCTAGTCCCTTTTGTCAGCATTTGGCCCATATCCCTCTCAACCCTTCCTATTCATGTGCCTCTCCAGATGCCTTTTAAATGTTGTAATTGTACCTTCCTCCACCACTTCCTCTGACAGCTCATTCCATACACGCACCACCCTCTGCAGGAAAAAGTTTCCCCTCAGGTTTCTTTTAAATCCTTTCCCTCTCACCTCAAAACCAATGCCCTCTCTATTTGGACTCCCCACCCTTGGAAAGAGACCTTGGTTATTCACCCAATCATGCCCCCCATGATTTTATAAACCTCTGTAAGGTCACCCTTCTCTCACCGATGCTGCAGGCTACATAGCCCCAGCCTATTCAGCCTCTCCTTACAGCTCAAACCCTCCATTTCCGGGAACATCCTTGGAAATTTTTTCTGCATACTCTGACGTTTAACTACATCTTTCCTATGGAGGGATGTAGTTAAACGTTGATAGGAAGTTATGAATGAAATACATTTTAAGAGCAGAGATGGATGCATAATCTGTACCTGTTCATCTGAAGTTGCAGAAAACACCACAAACTCTAATGGGAAAGCACATGTGTCTGCATTTCAAGAACATCTGATGGCTGTAGGAGAAATAAGTCAATTTGTCTGCATTTTGCTCTCATACAAATGATGTGCTTACAGCTTGTTGAATTCTCTGTCTAATATTTCCCTTATGTTTGCTAACAGCGACATTACCAACTGTGAGCACAAGAAAAACTCCAAGCCTCGAAGGGACACCCATTGAGTTCAACATGACCTTTGTCATCACTAACTTACAGTTTACAGAGAGTCTACATAATTCCAGTTCTTCACTATACAACGCTGTGTCAAAGAATATTTCCGATAGGGTAATGAATACATTACACAAGTCTGTGAAAATACATCACTTTCCAGACACATTTGTGTTGTGACATGTAATGAAAGTAATAACTAATACAATTCTCTCACTCATCAATGTGAGCTTCTCCCTCAAACATTCTTCCTTTGTTTTGCAGCTCACTGACCTGTATGACAAGAGCAAAATTAATGCAAGATTTTCAGATTGTAAAGCTGTTTCCTTCAGGTGAGATATTTCATTACACTGTCTTGAAAATATTTATCAATAAGAATTCTAAAGGAAGGGTTACTTGAACTATGTGAAAACATTTAAAATTACTAACAGCTGCATATTCTTATAGCATTACATTGCTATGTGACATAGAACAGATTTCTATGCTTTTCATGATCATTTGTTTTGACGTTCAGTGTACCTTGGGCCACAGTGTTGGAGAGCAAGCAACTGTGTTCAAAACTGGTTTTTCAAAGACAAGTGAATGTTTAATATTTATATAATTTACTTATATATAGGATGTATGTAACTTCAATGATTGAAATGGCTGGCTTTAGAGATTCTAATCACAAAGATCAATAATTAGTTCAGAACAATCGATGTCATCTGGTTAAACACTTCTTTCCATTTTGTTTTAACAGGCCTGCAGATGTTGCTAATACCCGTGTGTACGCAATCTGTACATTCAGAAACGATTCTGATCCTCAGGAGGTGAACAGAATTACCATGTACCATGCATTCCGAGACAACACCAAGAATATCTCTGCATTAGGAACATATACGTTGGACAGTAACAGCCTCTATGTCAATGGTATTTTCATTCAAAGACATATGGTGTTCATATTTTGTTTTTCAATATGTTATTTGGATTGAATTTAGCTATGATTTTTAAAAGGGTAAATTTATTGAATTCTGTATTGATGGATTTTCACCTGACACATATCAATCTAAATGCATGACTTTAATCTTTCAGGGTACCATGAATCAACTCCTTTACCAAGTAAGTGATATTCATGAACGTTTGTTCTATTTGTGCTTATTTTAATTAACAGAACAATAAAAAGTGGCTTACTGATATCTCTTCACGTATCGTCAAGTACCATCACATTATTTCTGAAATAACATTTTGATTAGTATCTTCTCCATCCCACATTTTCCATTTAATCACTATTTCCAATTCTGAAATTGCTGATCTGTGAAAGTTCAGCTAACGTTCCTGAGTGAGGTCATAGTCATCTATCTTTTATTTGAGGAATATTGGGCCAATAATACTGCATATAAATGAACTGAGAAGAAAAAATGCTGATTGCATTGTAACCAGAATTTTCACCCAAATATAAAATTCTACATCACAGATGGACACACAAAATAAGCAGGACTTTGTTCCTCCTTGAAATTCATTTCAAGAGGAGAGATGGTGCATAATCTGTACCTACTCATTTGATGCTGAAGAAAATACTAGGATATCTAATAAGCAAGCATGTATATCTGCATTTCAAGTATATTTGATCATTTTAGATGGAATAAAGTTATTTTATCTGCAGTTAAGAACATACAAATGATGTTCTTACAGCTTGTTCTATTCTCTAATATTTTCTTTATGTTTGCTAATAGCGACATTACCAACTGTGAGCACAACACAAACTCCAATCATAAAGGAAATCCCATTGAATTCAACGTGACCTTTGTTATCACTAACTTAGAGTTTACAGAGAGTCTACATAATTCCAGTGCTTCACTATACAATGCTGTGTCAAGTAATATTTCTTATCAGGTAATCAATTCATTCCAGTACTCTGTGAAAATACATCACATTCCAGACACATTTATGTTGTGACACGTCAATAAGTGCTCTTTCCTAAAACATTGATTTTTTTTTTGCAGCTCACTGACCTGTACAACAAGAGCAAAATTAATGCAAGCTTTTCAGATTGCAAAGCTGTTTCCTTCAGGTGAAATATTTCAATTATCTATATCAAAATCATGTATCAACATTAATTTTAAGAAGGAGCCTGCATCAGGTAAGGGTCTCTTGAACTGTGTGAAAATATTTAAAATTGCTTGTAGATGTGTAATTTTATAGGACTATGCTGCTATGTGCTATAGATCTGAGTCTTTCGCATGTCAAGTTCATTTCCATACAGGTTCAGTTTATCTTGGAACACAATATTGGAAGTCAAGCAACTGTCCATGAAGACAGTTTCTTTTAAAACAAGTGAACTTTTAAGGTTTAAAGTAAGTTACTCTTATTTCAGATGTATGAAACTTCATTGATTGAAACGGAAGATATTAAAGATTCTAATCACAAAGATCAAGAATCAGTTCTGAATAGTCAACGTCATGTGGTTCAACACTTTTTTCCATTTTGTTTTAACAGGCCAGTCGATGTTGCTAGTACTCGTGTGTACGCAATCTGTACATTCAGAAACAATTCTGATCCTCAGGAGGTGAACAGAATTACTGTGTACCGTGCATTCCGAGACAACACCAAGAATATCTCTACATTGGGAACATATACATTGGACAGTAACAGCCTCTATGTCAATGGTATTTCCATTTAAAGACATATGGTGATCATGTTTTTTTCAATATGTTATTTGGATCGAATTTAGCTATGTTTTTAAAAGGGTAAATTTGTTGAATTCTATATTGGTGGCTTTTTTACCCAACGCATACCAATCTAAACGCGTGACTTTAATCTTTCAGGATACCAAGAATCAACTCCTTTACCGAGTAAGTGATATTCATGAACCTTTATTCTATTTGTGCTTATTTTGATTAATAAGACAACAAAAAAAAGTACTTACTGATATCTCTTTATATAATGTCAAATAGGATTATGTTATTTCCGAAATAACATTTTGATTTGTATCTTCTACATCCTACATTTCCCATTTAATCACTACTTGCAATTCTGAAATTGCTGATCTGTGAAAGTTCAGCTAACGTTTTTGAGTGAGGTCATAGGTGTCACTCTTTTCTTTGAGGAATATTGGGCCAATATTGCTGCATATAAAGGAATTGAGAAGAGAAAACGCTGATTGCATTGTAACCAGAATTTTCACTCAAATATAAAATTCTACAGCGCTGATGGACACACAAAATAAGCAGGACTTTGTTACTCCTTATAGAGTCATTGACTTGTACGGCACGCAACAGACCCTTAGTCCAACCTGTCTGCAATGAGCGGATATCCTAAATTAATCTAGTCCCATTTGTCAGCATTTGGCCCATATCCCTCTCAACCCTTCCCATTCATGTGCCCATCTAGATACCTTTTACATGTTGTAATTGTACCCTCCTCCACCACTTCCTGTGGCAGCTTGTTCCATAGACACAGCAGCCTTTGCATGAAAAAGGCACCCCTGAGCTCCCTTTTAAATCCTTCCCCTCTCACCTGAAACCGATGCCCTTTTGTTTTGCCCTCCCCCATCTTTGGAATAAGACCCTGGCTATTCATCCCATCATGCCCTTCATGATTTTATTAATGTCTATACGGTCATCCTTCTGCCTCTGCAGGGTAAAAGGCTGCAGCATAATCAACGTCTCCCTGTAACTCAAACCCTCCAGTTCTGGCAAAATCCTTGTAAATGTTTTTTGGCACCCTTTGAAGTTTAACTACATCTTTCCCATAGAACAATGTAGGTAAACTTCTATCAGGGGGAACAGAAACAGAAGTTGCTGGAAAAGTTCAGCAGATCTGGCAGCATCTGTGAAGATAAAATCAGAGTTAACATTTCGGGTCCAGTGACCCTTCCTCAGAGCATTCTGGAACAGGTTCTGAGGAAGGGTCACCAGACCCAAAACGTTAACCCTGATGATTTTCTTCACAGATGCTGCCAGACCTGCTGAGCTTTTCCAGCAACTTCTGCTTTTGTTCCTGATTTATAGCATCCGCAGTTCTTTCGGATTCTGTTGGGGGATATGGTTATGAATGGGTACATAATCTGTGCCTACTCACCTGAAGTTGTAGAAAAAACTAGATCTCTAATGAGCAAGCATGTATTTCTGCATTTCAAGAACATGTGATCTGTTGCAGGTGGAATAAAGTAAATTTAACTACAATTAGCTCTCATATAAATGATGTTCTTACAGTATGTTCTATTCTCTGTCTAATATTTCCCTTATGTTTGCTATTAGCAACATTACCACCCATGACCACAACACCAAGTCTCAAAGAGAAGCCCATTGAATTCAATGTGACCTTTGTTATCACTAACTTACAGTTTACTGAGAATCTACAAAATTCCAGTTCTTCGCTGTACAATGCTGTGTCAAAGAATATTTCCGACCAGGTAACCAATACACTGCACAAGCCTGTGAAAATACATCACTTTCCAGACACATTTGTATTATGAAATATAATTAAAGTAATAACGGATACAACTGTATCAACCATTAATGAGAGCTTCTCTCTCAAACTTTGATCCTTTTATTTCCAGCTCACTGACCTGTACAACAAGAGCAAACTTAATGCAAGATTTTCAGATTGCCAAGCTGTTTCTTTCAGGTGTGATACTTCAATCATCTATATCACAAATATGTATCAACACTAATTATAAATATGAGCCTGTGTCAGAAAAGGGTCACTTGTACTGTGTGAAAACATTTAATATTATAGGATTTTGGATTATGCTACCATGTGCCATAGATTTGATTCCTTTGCATGTCATTTACTTTGAGATTCAGTTTACCTTGGAACTCAATGTTGGAGGTCAAGCAACTGTACACAAAACTAGTTTCTTCAAATACAAGCAAACTTTTAGGTTTAAGTAAATTACTTCTATTTCAGATGTATACAACTTCAGTGACTGAAATGAGAGATATTAAAGATTCTAATCACAAAGATCGGGAACCAGTTCTGAACAGTCAAAGTCATGTGGTTCAACACTTCTTTCCATTTTGTTTTAACAGGCCAGTCAATGTTGCTAATACCCGTGTGTACGCAATCTGTACATTCAGAAATGATTCTGATCCTCAGGAGGTGAACAGAGTTATCGTGTACCGTGCATTCCGAGACAACACCAAGAATATCTCTACGTTAGAAATATATACATTGGACAGTAACAGCCTCTACGTCAATGGTATTTCCATCTAAAGAAATACATTGTTCATTTTTTTCAATATGTTATTTGGATTGAATTTAACTATGTTTTTCCATTGTTAATTTATTAAAATCTGTATTGATGGCTTTTCACCCAACACACATCAATCTAAATGCATGCCATTAATCTTTCGGGTTACCATGAAACAACTCCTTTACCCAGTGAGTATTATTCATGAACTTTTGTTCTATTTATGCTTATATCTATTAAAATGACAACAAAGAAGAAATTCCTTCCTGTTATCTGTTTATATATTATCAAATACCATTACATTATTTTTGAAGGTGTTTACATTCGCATCACCTGCATCCCACTTTTCCCATTTTATCACTGTGTGGAATCCTGAAGTTGCAGATCTGGGAAGTTAAACTAATATTGTGATGTCTTTATAATCTCTCTGTTTGATTTGAGGGATAGTAATCCAATAATTCTGAATATAAATGCACCAAGCAGATAGCCAACTAACTGCAGTGGAACTAGAATTTACTCCCAAATATAATATTCCACATAATTGACGAAAACACAGAAACAAAGAGGAGTTAGTTTCTTCTTATCAATGGAATGTACTTCAAAAGCAGAGATGGGTGCATAATCTCATCTGTTGTTGTAGAAAGCACTGGGATATCAAATGGGCAAGCATGTACATTTGCACTTCAAGAACATTTGGTGGTTGTGGGATATCAAGGTTAATTTATCTGCATTTAGCTCTCCTTCTTTCTGCTTGCTTTAGTTCTAGTCTAATGTTTCTCTTATGTTTGCCAATAGCGACATTACCAACTGTGACCACAACACAAACTCCAAGTCTCAAAGAGAAGCCCATTGAATTCAACGTGACCTTTGTTATCACCAACTTAGAGTTTACAGAGAGTCTACAAAAGTCAAATTCTTCACTGTACAGCTCTGTGTCAAAGAATATTTCCTATCAGGTACTCAATACATTACACTAACCTGTGATAATATATCACTTTCCAGACACGTCTGTGTTGTGACATGTATTGAAAGTAATAACTGATATGATTGTATCACCCATCAATGCAAGCTTCTCCCTCAAACATTCTTCCTTTGTTTTGCAGCTCACTGACCTGTACGACAACTGTAAAATTTATGCAAGATTTTCAGATTGTAAAGCTATTTCCTTCAGGTGAGATATTTCGTTACTCAATCTTGAAAATATGTATCAACATGATTAATAAATAAGAGGCTGCATCGTGAAAGGGTCATTTGAACTGTGTGAAAACATTTAAAATTAGTAATAGCTGCTTACTTTTATAGCAGAGATAGTAGGAACGGCCGATGCTGGAGTCTGATTGCCTTACAATATAGCATAGAACTGATTCCTGTGCTTTTCATGATCATTTGCTTTGACTCTCAGTTTACCTTGGGACACTGTGTTGGAGAGCAAGCAACTGTGTTTCAAAACCGGTTTTTTCCAAAACAAGTGAAATTTTAATATTTACGTAAATTACTGACATATAGGATGTGTGCAACTTCAATGATTGAAATTGAAGGTTTTAAAGATTCGAATTGCAAAGATCAATATTCGGTTCAAAACAATCAATGTCATTTGGTTAAACACTTTTTTCTGTTTGGATTTAACAGGCCAGCAGATGTTGCTAGTACTCGTGTGTACGCAATCTGTACATTCAGAAATGATTCTGATCCTCAGGAGGTGAACAGAATTACCGTGTACCATGCCTTCCGAGACAATACCAAGAATATCTCTACATTAGGAGTATATACATTGGACAGTAACAGCCTCTATGTCAATGGTAAATTTTACTTAGTACAATATCTTCTTGTATTCTATGCTTTTTAATTTGATATCTGCATTGAATCAGTTACTTTTAAAGGCTGTGATACAATTTTATTTTACTCAAATGATGCTTTTTCAAATGGCTGAACTGATGCAAACTTATGCACTTGATTTTGCAGGTTACCATGAACTAATCCTTTCCCCCAGTAAGTATTCTCTCTACGCTTTGTCTATGAATATTTCCTTTGATTAAAGTAGGTGATAACAAAGTGAAAACCAAAACCAAACTAATGCTACTTGATATATTGTCAAACAATCTGCCTTTTAATTACAGTGTTTCTCATTTCCACTTGGGGTTTCATTCCCTGCATGTTGGATGTGTTTGTGAATCTTCAAAATGAAGAATTTAGTGTAAGTTTCACCAGAGCTTCTGTCTTTGTACCTGGCTTTTCCCAAAAAATAGACCACAGGATCATTAATTCCATTAAACTACTATGCCAGTTGGTGCCTTCAAACTACATGTTTGCCCTCTTCCTTTCTTAATCCCTGATTAGCAGAGGTGGCGGCACAGTGGTATACAGTCCTCAGCATGGACTCCAGACCCGACAACGTCTTATGCCTTCAGGTTAAACATCATCAAGGAAACCTCCTGCAGATTACCATGCATTGCCTTCCTCAGCTGATGAATCGGTACTCCTCCATGTTGAACAACACTTGGAGGAAGCACTGAGGATGGCAAAGGCACAAAATCCCAGACGCCAACTCTCTGACACCTCCTCCTACCGCCCCCTTGATCATGACCCCACCCCCGAGCACCAAACCATCATCTCCCAAACCATCCACAACCTCATCACCTCAGGTGACCTTCCACCCAC